AAAAAAAAAAAAAAATTAGTACATCTGTAATCCTCGCTACTCAGGAGACTGAGATCTGAGGATCATAGTTTGAAGCCAGCTTGGGCAGTAAAGTCTTTGAGACTATTATCTCCAGTTAGCCACCACAAAGCTCAGGGATAACACCCAAGCCCTGAGTTCAAGCCCCAGGACCGGCACCAAAAAGAACTAAAATAACCAGTGCACAAGGGGACGGAGAGGTGGCTCAAACTCTTCAATCCCTAATACTACCAGTAGGCAGGTAGATAGGTAGGTAAGTAGGTAGATAGGTAAGTAGGTAAGTAAAAAATGAGTACATAGGTATTCGTTTCCACCTCTTTTCAGACCAGTAGTAATATACATATTTTATCAATGTCAGTCCTTCAGATATATAAAGTATATCATTTTGTTGTTGTTATTCTGGTACAAGTGCTTGAACTCATGGCCTGGGTGCTGTTCCTTAGATTTATTGTCCCTTAGATTTATTGATCATTTTGTTGTTGTTATTCTGGTACAAGTGCTTGAACTCATGGCCTGGGTGCTATCCCTTAGATTTATTGCTCAGAGCTGGCACTCTACACATGAGCCATACCTCTACTTCCAGGTTTTTGCTAGTTAATTGAAGGTGAGTTGGATTTTTCTTGCTCAGGGTGGCTTTGAACTACTGTCCTTAGATCTCAACCTCCTGGGTAGCTAGGATTATAAGCATGAGTCTGTATTGAGGCTCTTACCCAGCTTGATCCTGGGTTATAAGAAAGGTTGATATTTTTTTCCTTCCTTCCTTTCTTTCTTTTTTTCCTTCTTTCCTTCTTTCTTTTTCCTTCTTTCTCTCCCTCCTTCCTTCCTTTCTTTCTTGTTTTTGCCAGTCCTAAGGCTTGAACTCAGGGCCTGGGTACCTGGACACTGTCCCTGAGCTACTTTTTGCTCAAGGCTAGCACTCTACCACTTGAGCCACAGCTCCACTTTAGGTTTTTCTTCCCCCGCCCTCCCTCAATTTATTGGAGATAAGAATCTCACAAACTATCCTGCCCCAGGCTGGCATCCACCTATTATCCTCAGATCTCAGCCTCCTGAGTATCTAAGAGTAAATACATGAGCCACTAGCACCTGGCTTTAACCCCCTGGCGCCCCCCCCCCTCCCCCGTCCCCCAGCTTGGATTGAACTCAAGGCCTTGAGCTTACTAGGCAGAGTTTCTACCATTCAAGCCATAGAGTTTTTACAATGAGCCACCCTAGCACCACAGTATTTTTTCCTATCTATTCTTCCTTCATAGTTGGGATTTCAGGTCCATACCATCATGCTTGGCTCATTCTGTTGAGATGGGAGTCTCACTAACTTTTTATTGGACTAGCCTCAAACTGTGATCCTCCCAATCTCTGCACCCCCAACAGCTGGAATTACAGGTGTGAATCACCATGCCCCACCTCATCTTTCTATACAATTAAAAACTAAATCCAGGTGCTGGTGGCTCATGTTCCTCAGGAGGCTAAGATCTGAGGATTAGGTTTGAAGACAGCCCAGGCAGAAAAGTATGTGACCAGCATTGCTGGTTATTTGGATAGAAATATGGCTCAAGTGGTACAGGACCAGCCTTGAGCAGAAAAAGCCAAATAAGAGTAGGAGGCCCTTTGTTCAAGCCCAGTACACACACAAAAATAAATAAATATGAGGGCTGGGAAGGTGGCTCAGTGGTAGAGCAATTGCCTTGCATCCATGAGGCCCTGGGTTTGATTCCTCAGCACCACATAAGCAGAAAAAAAAAGCCGGAAGTGGTGCTGTGGCTCAAGTGGTAGAGTGCTAGCCTTGAGCTGAAGAGCTGAGAGACAGTGCCCAGGCCCAGAGTTCAAGCCCACAACCAGACCCCCTCCCCCGTCCCCCCACCAAAAAAAAATGAAATAAAATAGATTTAATAGTATTGGAGATGTTAGGCTTTCAGTGATTAAAAACAAAGGCAAGTTTTCAGAAGACTGGTGTAAGGTATATTAAATAGGTAGTTTTCATTAGGTAGCTGATGAAGAGAATACCATGCGCTATTCAGGCAGGGAAAGAAGTTTATTTACCAAACTCCTGCCCCCACCGTGCATGGTGGAGAGGTATGGCCGAAAAAAGAGGCCACCCATCCCTGAGCCAGGGTATGACCTAGCAGGAGGGGGAGGTTACTGCTTCCAGGTTTGCCAGCTACCTAGGTAACACAGATACTGGGTGGAAATTTAGAGATAGGGAGCTATCTGCACAGGGCCTGCCTGGACTGGGGCAGACCTTACAACTGGAATATGTGACCTTTCTTTCTCTCTTAGGCAACACTGGACTATGGAATGTATTCTAGAGAAGAAGAATTATTAAGAGAAAGAAAACGCATTGGAACAGTTGGAATTGCTTCTTATGATTATCACCAAGGAAGTGGGACATTTCTGTTTCAAGCTGGTAGTGGAATTTACCATGTGAAAGATGGAGGGCCACAAGGATTTACTGTAAGTTGGAGTTACTGCTTCTTTGGAGGTCCATTATACTAATACTGTCTGTTTTAAGATTATTTATACCCAAGGCAGGAGAGCAAGTAATAAATAAAAAGAACTTCTCTTTGCTTATCAGTTAAAGAATTTAATTGTACTGAAACCAAGCATAATACTAATTTTCATTATTAAGAGTTAAGTTTTTGTTTGTTTGGGTATTTTTTTAACTGTATTTTTTTTGTCTTTTCTTTTTTGGTGCTGGGGATCGGACCCAGGACGTTGCACTTGCTAGGCAAGCACTTTGCCACTGAGCTACATCCCAGCCCAGGAGTTAATTTTTTAAGGGACAGTAAGGTGCAGTTTTTTGTTTTTTGGGTCCGGTCATAGGGCCTGAACTCTGGGCCTGGGCGCTGTCCCTCAGCTCTTCAGCTCAAGGCTAGTGCTCTACCACTTGAGCCACAGCACCACTTCCGTTTTTTTCTTTTTGCTAATGTGGTGCTGAGGAATCGAACCCAGGGCCTCATGCATGCAAGGCAAGTGCTCTACCACGGAGCCACTTCCCAGCCCCAGGTGCAGTTTTTTAAATTCTCATACCACTTGCTATGACTAGGAATAGTGACACGCATCCATACTCCAAACTATTGAGGCGGCCAAAGTAGGAAGATCAAGGTCCAAGGCTAACTCTGAGGAAGTCAGCCCCATAGTTCATAGATAAACAAAAGCACAAGGGCTAGAGGTGGAGCATTTGAATTTCAGTTCAGTCCCCCGTAATGAAGAAGGGAGAGGGAAGAGGGAAGGAGAGAGGAAAGGCAGGAGGGAAGGAGGAAGGGAGAAAAGGAAGGAAGGAGGGAAAGAAGAAAGGAAGGAAGGAAAATTATTTTATCTATTTGGAAATTCTTTATGAACTATTAGAGATATTTTGATAGCCTTGTGAGGATCCTGGCTTTCCTTACATTTTTATGAGTAAAAATTTGTATTGATAAAACGAATTTTTAAATATTTAATAAATATGCAATAAATAGTATTTAAAATATTTTAAACAGTTATTTTTAAAATAATAATTACTCTATTAAAAATATTTGGACAAGCCGGGTAACAGTGGTTCACATCACACCTGTAATCCTAGCTACTCAGGATGCTGAGATCTGAAGATCATGGTTTAAAGCCAGCCCAGGCAGAAAAGTCCCTGTGAGACTCAATCTTCAATAAACTGCTCAAAAAAGCCAGAAGTGGCATTGTGGCTCAAGTGGCAGAGTGCTAAGCCTTGCGCACAAAGAGGCTTGGAGACAGTATGTAGGCCCTGAGTTTAAGCCCCAGGACCAGCAAAAAAAAAAAATTGGGGCAATTTACAAAATGTTGTCATAGTGTCTTTTATTTTTTTTAAACAATGGAATAAACTTCTTGTTTCCATGTCCTGGAGTTAAATTCAATAAATTTTACTTCATATGATCAGAGGCACATAGGCACTGCCCTTTTGTGTTCCTCTTCTAAGAGTGTCCTCCTTTGGTCTCACTTTGTGTGGATGCCTAGAGTCCTGTATAACTTATCATGTCCCCGTGTATTGTTATATTATCAAGATATAATACAATATCTCCCATTACCTTTAGCTTTTTTTTTTTTTTGCCGATCGTGGGGCCTGAACTCCGAGCCTGGGCGCTGTCCCTCAGCTCTTCAGCTCAAGGCTAGCACTCTACCACTTGAGCCACAGCTCCACTTCTGGCTTTTTCTGCTTATATGGTGCTGAGGAATCGAACCCAGGGCCTCATGCATGCAAGGGCAAGCACTCTACCACTGAGCCACCTTCCCAGCCCCCACCTTTAGCTTTTTTATTCATAGAGGGACAAGTTAATCCTTTATAAATTAAAAACCAACCTTGAGCTGAAGAGCTGAAGGACAGCACCCAGGCCCTATGACAAAAAAAAAAAAAGTTAAAAGCCATGAAGAAGCTAGGTTTAGTAACTCCTGCTTTTAGTCTTTTTTATGAGGAGATAGATTTGAAACCAATCCAAACAAAAAGCTATTCAGACCGTATCTCAAAATACTAACTGAGCTGTTGTCAGTGGGTCACACCTACTCAGGAGGCTGAGATTTAAGGATCACCTTTCAAAGCCAGCCTAGGCAGGAAAGTCCCTGAGACTCTTTATCTCCAATTAATCACCAGAAAACTTGAAGTGGCACTGTGGCTCAAAAGTGGTAAAGTCCTAGCTTTAAGCATAAAGAGCTCAGATTCAGCTCCTAGGCCCTGAGTTCAAGCCCTACAACCAACAACAAAAAATAAATAAATGAAAAAGAGAATATGGTTCAAATGATGTAATACTTGTCTAACTAGCCAAAGGCCCTAAGTTTAAGCCCTAGTATTGTGAAAAAGGAGAGGGAATGGAGGGAGGCCATTTGAAACTATTATCAAAGTTGACATTTTACCCAGAAATATTCATCTTATAAGATCTATAAGCCTGATATTCACCTTAAAATGTTGTTTACTTTTCTAGCAACAACCTTTACAGCCCAATTTAGTGGAAACTAGTTGTCCCAACATACGGATGGACCCAAAATTATGTCCTGCTGATCCAGACTGGATTGCTTTTATACACAGCAATGATATCTGGATATCCAACATTGTCACCAGAGAAGAAAGAAGGCTCACCTATGTGCACAATGGTAAGGCATAGTTCTTCAGATCCACCCACACAAGCTGGTGATCTTTGTATTTGAAACTTTGCTCTTTAACTTTTTTTAATTATGAAAAAAGTACAGAGGGTAAGCCAGCCCTGTACAGTGCTACCTTGTTTTAGTTCATTTTCAAACAGCACCATAGTAGCCCTCTAATAATTGTTCATTCAGCCTATTAAGACAGCCACTACGCAGAAGAAAGAGTTGTACTGTCAAAGCTTGTAGAATTCATAAACTTTATAGACTAAGAGAATGACAGTTTGTCTTGTAAAGGTTAAAATGTGTTTGCAACTTTAACTATCACTATTCTACAATACTGTGAAATTTATGGAATTTATGTAATAATTTATTCTCAATAAAAAATTATTAAAAAAAAAAAGACTGCCATTAGGTGTTTAACAGGCTGATGGCTGAGAATATCAGTTCGAAGTCAGCCTGGGCAGACAAATTTGAGAGACTTATTTCTAATGACCAACAAAAAGCCAGAAGTGGAGGTATAGCTCAAGTTGTAGAGTACCAGCCTTTAGCAAAAAAGCTGAGTGGGAGTTCAAGGTCTTCAGTTCAAGCCTCAGTACTAGTAAGAATACACATGCGCATACACACAGAGTACCACAATTTTCCAAAAGCTGTTCACATTAAAATAAAATTTCAATTAAGAAATCTAAACTTGTCTCAGCAAAAAGTATATAATTGAAAAAAAAAAAAAGGCTTCTATTTGGTTCAAGTGGTAGACTGCTTACCTAACCAGCGTGAGAGCTTCAGTTCACCCTCCAGATCATCCCATCTCCTCTGCCCAGAAAAACAGCTCAGGAGTGGGGATTGATGGTAGGTTTGAGCCTCAGCATCACACACACACACACACACACACACACACTCCCTCAGGGGTGGGGATTGATGGTAGGTTTGAGCCTCAGCATCACTCTCTCACACACACACACACACACTCCCTCAGGGGTGGGGATTGATGGTAGGTTTGAGCCTCAGCATCACACACACACACACACACACACTCTCCCTCAGGGGTGGGGATTGATGGTAGGTTTGAGCCTCAGCATCACTCTCTCACACACACACACACACTCCCTCAGGGGTGGGGATTGATGGTAGGTTTGAGCCTCAGCATCACACACACACACACACACACACACACACACACACACTCCCTCAGGGGTGGGGATTGATGGTAGGTTTGAGCCTCAGCATCACACACACACACACACACACACACCCTCAGGGGTGGGGATTGATGGTAGGTTTGAGCCTCAGCATCACACACACACACGATAAGTTTAATCAGATGTGCATGTGTTTATTCTGTTCTTAAGATGGTAGAGGAATTCAAAAATAAAAAACCACCAACTTCTCCCAAATAATTTCTCTTATTGGGAGGATAAAATGATGAATAATTGAGGTCTATTATAAGTGATAGGGAGATTCAAATGAATAGTACCTCTCCTCAAATCTGAAGGAGAGCAAAATATAAAATCATGTTAGCAGGGCTGGGAAGGTGGCTCAGTGGTAGAGCGCTTGCCTTGCATGCTTGAGGCCCTGGGTTCGATTCCTCAGCACCACATAAGCAAAAAGAAAAAAAAAAAAGCTGGAAGTGGTACTGTGGCTCAAGTGGTTGAGTGCTAGCCTTGAGCTGAAGAGCTGAGGGACAGCCCAGGCCCAGAGTTCAGGCCCCATGACTGGACCAAAAAAAAAAAATGTTAGCGCTTGTGACGGTGGCTCAAGCCTTTAATCCTCGCTACTCAGAAGGCTGAGATCAGAGGATCCCAGTTGAAAGCCAGCCCAGGCAGGAAAGTCCATGAGACTCTTATCTCCAATAAAAAAACTACTAGAAAACCGGAAGTGGCGCTGTGGTTCAAGCGGTAGAGTGCTTGCCTCGAGCTGAAGAGCACAGGGACAGCGCTCAAGCGCAGAGTTCAAGCCCCATGACCGCCAAAAAAAAAAAAAAAATCATATTAGTAGTATAATTTTGGAGTATTTGAAACGTCCAAGAAAACTGAGCCCTCGTCTTCATTCTATTATTAATTGCAAAATTCAAAGATTTCTGAAAACTGAGCTTAATTTTCATTAACTTGATGTTTAATAGCATAATCTGACCTGAAGTGACCTTAGGATATTTATAATTGCAGTCCTACTTAGTGTGCCTTCTTATAAATTTGCTTCAAGAATAGTGGGGTATTTGATTACAGCTTCTTTAGCTGCCCTGCTAGAAGTGTTACATGATCTATGACAGGTGAACAGCATAGTGACTCGTTCCAAATTCTGAATTCCAGCTCAGTCTTCTGGACTCCATTACAATAAGGGATGATTGGTTCATGCTGCATCTTCCTATCCTACAATGTCAAAAATACAGATCTGCAGATCTGCAAAGATAACAAATAAAACTTGCCTGAGCTGGCAGATGTGAGGATGGTAGGGTCATTCACTTGAGGCCAGGAGTGCTAGACTAACCTGGGCTATATACCAAGACCCTGTCTTGATATGGGGGTAGAGAAGGAGAGAGAAAGAGTGATCCCTACATACCTACTAGGCTAACAAAAGTGAAAAAGATTGAGAATATCGAATGTTAAAGAGGAGCTTGCACACATTGAGAGTAAGAAAAATGTTTGGTAGTTTGCTTTTTTTTTTTTTTGGTCAGTCATGGGGCTTGAACTCTGGGCCTGGGTGCTGTCCCTGCGCTCTTCAGCTCAAGGCGAGCACTGTACTGCTTGAGCTACAGCGCCACTTCTGGTTTTCTAGTGGTTTATTGGAGATAGGAGTCTCAGGAACTTTCCTGCCTGGGCTGGCTTTGAACCTCGATCCTCAGATCTGAGCCTCTTGAATAGCTAGGATTACAGGCGTGAGCCACTGGCGCCCAGCTTGTTTGGTAGTTTCTTACAAAATTAAACATGCATATCACAGAACATAGCCATTTGACTCTTAGCTATTTATTCAAAAGAAACTACAAGTGGGGCTAGGAGGAGAGGGGGGAGGGAGAAAGAGTAGGAGTGTAGTTGTGGAGGTGGTAGGGAAGGGAGGGTAGGGGAAAAACAAAGGAAGAGGTAACAATGCTAGATAGGAAATGTACTCATTAGCTTGCTCATGTAACTGTAACCCCTCTATACAGTATTTTTATAATAAAGTATTTAAAAAAAAAAGAGGGGCTAGGAATGTGGCTTAGTGGTAGAGAACTTGCCTAGCATGTGTGAAACTCTGGGTTCAATTCCTCAGTACCACATAAACAGAAAAAGCCAGAAGTGGTGCTATGGCTCAAGTAAAAGAGTGCTAGCCTTGAGCAAAAGAAGCTCAGGGACAGTGCCCAGGCCCTGAGTTCAAGCTCCAGGATTGGCAAAAAAAGAAACTAAAATAAATGTTCATAAAAAATCTTTTCTTTGGGGGGCTGGGAAGGTGGCTCAGTGGTAGAGCGCTTGCCTTGCATGCATGAGGCCCTGGGTTCGATTCCTCAGCACCACATAAGCAGAAAAAAGCCAGAAGTAGTGCTGTGGCTCACGTGGTAGAGCGATAGCCTTGAGCTGAAGAGCTGAGGGACAGTGCCCAGGCCCAGAGTTCAGGCCCCAAGACCAGACCCCCCAAAAAAAAAATCTTTTCTTTTTTTCTTTTTTCTCTTTGGATGGTACTAGGGTTTGAACTTAGAATTTGAGCATACTAGGTAGACACTTGAGCTACTCTTCCAGCCCTTTTTGCTTTAATTTTTTTTACAACTTTTTTATTGTTACCATAAAGATGATTAAGAGAAGGGTTAGAGTTACATACATCTTTCTTTCTTTCTTTCTTTCTTTTTTGTCGGGGCCTGGGTGCTGTTCCTCAGTTCTTCAGCTCAAGGCTAGCACTCCGCCACTTGAGCTACAGTGCCACTTTTGGCTTTTTCTGCTTATGTGGTGCTGAGGAATTAAACCCAGGGCCTCATGCGTGCAAGGCAAGCGCTCTACCACTGAGCCCCCATACATATTTCTTGAGTAGGGTCTCCAGTTTATGCCTGAGCCAACCTGAACTCAGATCCTCCTATTTATACTTCCCCAGTAGTTGGGATAACAATTACATATTGGCCCATCTTTTATTCTTTTTTCTTTTTATCTTTTTTGACAGTTGTAGGGCTTGAACTCTGGGCCTGGGTGCTGTTCAGCTCTTCAGCTCAAGGCGAGTGCTCTACCACTTGAGCCACAGCACCACTCTGGTTTTTTGGTAGTTAATTGGAGATAAGAGTCTCACATACTTTCCTGCCTGGGCTGGCTTTGAGCGGTGATCTTGAGATCTTAGCCTCCTGAGTAGCTAGGATTACAGGTGTGAGCCATTGGCACCCAACCCAGCTTTCATTCTTCAAATGGGGATCTCACAAACTTTTGTTTTCTTTGTTTTTTTTTTTTTTTTGACAATACCAGTTTTCTAACTCAAGGCTTCAAACTCACTTGGCTTCCTTGCTCAGCAGGCATTCTACCACTGGGGCTATTCCTCCAGCCCCAGCAAAGAAATTACTGGTTGTTTTGGAGATAGAGTCTAGCTGACTTTTCTGCCTAGCTGGCTTCAAACCATAGTTCCCCACATCTCTGCCTCCTGATGTCCTGACAGTCTAGTATACTTTTTGCCCCAGTTGCTCTTGAAATGCTGTCCTCTGAATACCTAGGATTATAGGTATGAGCAACAACGTTCTTATTCTCAATAACAAAAACCTTAAAGCTGCTAGAATATGGCATTAATTAAATCTTTTTAACAAACAAGTGAGCTGGCTATGGTGGCACATACCCGTAGTCAACAAGAGAATGAGAAAGAAGGATAGTGAGTTCAAAGCTAGTCTGAGCTATGCTGTTGAGCATGGTGTCTCGGCCCTGTGGTCCTAGCACTAGAGGAGACAAGAGGATTACAAGTTTCAGGCTCGCCTGGATTGCCAGTCTGGGCTATGAGACTCTATCACAGGAAGAAAAAGGAAAAAGAGATAGAAGAAGAAAGGAAGAAAGAAAAGGAGTGGTTAAGGTGAAAAAACATTGGTAATGGTGGCATACTCCTGTAAGTTGAATGCAAGGAAATCACTAGTTCAAGCGTACATGGTGAGACCCTGTCTTGAAAAGAGAGAAAGGGGCTGGGAAGGTGGCTCAGTGGTAGAGTGCTTGCCTTGCATGCATGAGGCCCTGGGTTCGATTCCTCAGCACCACATAAGCAGAAAAAGCCAAAAGTGGCACTATGGCTCAAGTGGTAGTGTGTTAGCCTTCAGCTAAAGAGCTGAGGGATAGCACCCAGGCCCAGAGTTCAGGCCCCACAACCGACAAAAAGAAAAGAGGGGGGCTGAGTAGCAAAGTGGTATTGTGTTTGTCTTGAAATGCCCAAGGCACTGGCTTCAATCTTACCCTCATTTTCAAATGAGACACTACATTGGAGTGAGATTGAGTGATTTGCCCAAAGTTGGTAATGATGGTAATGATGGAATCTAGACTTGAACCCACTCCATTTGGGTGTACATTTCATTACTACTTTCAGCTCCCTTTGCAAATAAACTAATTTTGCTTTGTGCTGAGGGGAGGAAAGGGTGTGACAGCCTCCTCAAATAATTTTGTCTTTTATGTTTATCTAGAGCTAGCCAACATGGAAGATGATCCCAGATCGGCTGGAGTTGCTACATTTGTTCTTCAAGAAGAGTTTGATAGATATTCTGGCTATTGGTGGTGTCCAGAAGCTGAAATGAGTAAGAAGTTCAAAATAATATATTATGGGTCAATAAGACTATAAAAAAGATACAATTGTAATTTTCCTACTTTGGATAATAAGTTCCAAGGTGATGGGGGCTAGATCCTATTAGTAGTTATTTATAATATACAGATTGTATCTTATCAGTACAAATTCTAGTAGAACTAGTTAAACTGTGGTTCAGTGGAATCCCTTTTTCACTTCTGTTTGCCAGTTTTCAACTAGAAGGCTAGTTGATAATTTTGGTAATATTGTGGCAAAATATCACACCCTAATGAATTACTAATGAAAAATGTATGAGAGCAGGGCTCAGTGACTCTCACCTATAATCCTAGCTACTCAGGAAGCTGTGATGTGAGGATCCAGATTTGAAGCCAACTCATATGGGAAAGCCCATGAGACTCTCATGTCCAATTACTACCAGAAGTGCTGGAAGTGAAGCTGTGGCTCAAGTGCTAGAGTGCTAGCCTTGAGCTCAAAAGCTCAGGGACAGCACCCAGACCCTGATTCAAGCCCCAGTACTGGCACAAAACAAAGAGAAAAAAAGAAAATAAATGTTTAGTAGTCAGCCACCAGTTGTTCATGTCTGTAATCTTAGCTACTTGGAAATATTGAGATTTGAAGCCAGCCTGAACAAAAAAGTTCATGAGTCTCCATCTCCAAATTCAAGAGCGAAAAGCAGAGTTGGAGGTATGGCTCAAGTGATAGAACACGAGGTAAGCAAGCAAGCAAGCCAAGAGAGCTTGCAAATCTCTTAGTTCAAACCCCAGTAATGCCAAGGAAAAAAGAAAAATAAGGGGCTGGGAAGGTGGCTCAGTGGTAGAGCGCTTGCCTTGCATGCATGAGGCCCTGGGTTCGATTCCTCAGCACCACATAAGCA